AGAAGAGGAGGCTGTCAGGCCGCCCGCTTCTTCTTCCTCGACTGCTGGCCGAAATTCTGGGCTGGCTGCGCCTGGGCTGCAGCCGGAACCAGAGATTTTCTGGGCTAACTCGCCCTCGTCTCCTGCCTGGGCTGGGGACTCGGGGCGGGCTGTGACCTCTGCTGCTTCGGTACTTTGAACCGAGCAGTTGAGGTAGCTTGGGCAAAGGACTGCCGCTGTGGAGGCAGCGGCAGGACCCTTCGAGGGAGACAGAGGTGGAGGGCATCGTCCTTCTTCTTGGACTCGCATCTCTTCTGCATGGAGACGAGAGCAGAGCCAAAAATCCCCTCGGGAACGATGGGCATGTCCAGCACATCCTCCTTTTCCCGGTCTGGGAGGTTGGTGAGGTTGAGCCATCTAGCTCTTTCCTGCACCACCATGATTCCCATTGCCGGAAGCGTGGGGTTCCTGCTTGGTGTAGTAGCCATCCTCGGTAGTTGGTGGGCTGCCACCAGCGGTTTCATAGGCGGTATGCGGAGCAGGCCGAGCCTCTCCATACCATTACAGTCTAGGGAGGAGGCACCCTGGATTGGGGCCTTGTTGCTGAAGGGCCGGTCTCTCCACGAGACCGACACCTCATCCAACATCTCCGGGAAGACCGGCAGGAGTTGCCTCTTTGTCCTCGTTGCTTGGGGCAAATGTTTCCCCTCGTAACGGGACCTGGAGGTCTCCTTGGCCATTTCGGGCCATGGGATGTCTATGGGATGTCATGAGGGGGTCCTGACCCGACAAGCTAGCTTGGCGAGCTAGCCGTCGGCGGAGGCTCTTTATGGTGAAACGGGCACAATGCCCGCATGAGCCGGGGTTGTCGATAGCCTCCTGGGCATGTTGCAGCCCGAGGCAGGACGAGTAGACCTGGTGTGAGTCTGCGTCCAAAATCTTCAACCCGCAGCCGCAGAGCCGAGCCTCCGATTCCCTGACTCCTCTGGTGTGAGGGAGAGACGTGTCCATCTTGTTCGCCATTATGGCGACGTGGGAAGGACGCGCTCGTAGCAGGTACTTTGCCGAGAAAAAAATCTTCTCCAACCTGTCGTTAATCCGAAGAAAAGACGAATGAGATTGATGCTTCTGTTTGCTCCGCGGATGAGGCGCATCCCATAGTGAGACATCGAACGGAGTGTTATGAATGAGAACTAATTTCTTTGAGTCAAAAATAATATACACATTTAGTAGTTCCACTTTTTAACAGTTTATTTTAAAATGTTCTTTACACAATGACCTTTTTATAACAAATGAAATAAAAGTAAATACAACAATTAAAATAAAGGCATGAACCTGCTTCAACGTTTTTAACATCTCTTTTGGGTAGTTTAGGTTAAATGTGTATATTAGCACCCATCAACATGCAGGCTCTGGTCGCATCCGAGATTTGAAGGACTTGTGCTCCTTCAATCACTATTCTTGCATCCGCAGCCCTGGTCAAAAAGTCTTCAGCACCTCATTGCTAACTTCCACTTCACCATCCTGGAATAAGTAAATTAGAAAATACAAACAGCTAGCTAATCAGTATGCTATGCATGCTACAGTAGCTTAAAACAAGTAGCTAATGACTACCTTACGTTATATGCTGTAAGCAGCTGTTGTAAATGAAGCTGAACAAAAATGGCTACTTACCAGGTAACTTGATTGATTATTAGGTTAAAATCATGTTGTTCCATGCATTGCTATCTAGAGTTCTGCTTCCAGGATGAATGCAGATTGCTCCAACTCAACATGCGGTCAGCAAAGTCCGTGCAAGTCCAGGCGTGTGTTCAGTTTTGAAACTAAACCTTTGAAACTCAATATATATGAGTTACCTAACTTAGTTTATCCCTATAGTTGAGTGAACGCAGAAATATTTTTGCAAAATCATTACATTTGTAAGTTAAATTTTTTTGTTCTTTTTCAGTTTGACAGACTTATTCAAATCAGTTGTAAACTAACTAAAATAAGTTGAGGTAAAAAACTAAAATGTTTATGTTGAAAAAGTATTTATTTTTAAGTGGAATCGACTAACCCCATGAATTGTTTTTAGAATGTACTTAAAAGCAACAATGTATTTAATTTTATTCAACAAAGGTGTGAAGAAATATAATGCTGTTTTTATCAAAGGTAACCCTTTAAAAAAATACCTTACACAACCACAGTTAAGTGCATTTATTAAGTGCATTTATTAAGTGCATTTATTAAGTGCATCCATGTATGCCTCACCCTCCAATCTTGCGGCAGTTCCTATTATATGTTATCTTTGCAAGACGAAACTTTCCAAAAATATATTTTTTAGAAGTGCAGAGAGAGGTAACATGAAGTCTTTATCTTTAAGTGCAGTACAATTAGGCTTTTCCCCCCCTGGTAGAGCCTTGTTGCAGCGGCTGCAGGTTTGGATCCGACCCATGATCCTTTGCTGCATGTCATCCTCTCCGTCTCCCCTTGCCTTATAAAAGTAACACATCAATCCGGTCTCCCTTTAAGTTAATTATCTGTTCCAATTGGCTTGGATTAGACAGGCCCTGCCCCCTGCGGCAGAAAGTTGTTTGCACAATAATCCCAGATTACAGAATTGTGAAGTAGCGGGCCAGCACAGTACAACACTGTGTGAAAGTAATGCACTTTATCCACTATACAAAAATGTTTAATTGTTTTATGTTCCTTTTTTATGTTTGTCCTCCTTGCTTATGTTTTTTTTGCTGAACCATATCCAACACTTATCCTTGTGAGTGTGCGTCTGTGTGGTTGTGTGTCTGTCCACCATAAGCTCTATTTAGCGTGCGCTTGGAAATTGGATTCTTCAGAGCAGGCTTCACCTGGAGGAAGAGGAGAAGGAGTGCAGGAGGGAACGCTCATATCCTTTCCTTAAAACATGGCACCCAGACGGACGCTATTTTGTAGAGATGTAGTCAATCAGGTTGACCAGTAAGGTGTAGCGTTTCCAAGCTCCGGAATATCTTTTGGATTAGTATCTGATCTGTTTATTGTGACAATAAGAGCACTGTTGGATGACTGTGGCTCTCAAGGCCTTGAAGTGTTACTCATGGCAACATGAGGACACGCAGCAGTGCTGGAATTTCTCCTATGTGGAGCATCGGGGGGGGGTTTTAGGTGTCAGGAAGAAGAGGAATCATCAAGATGGTACAGCTGGAGCAGCTACTGAGGGTAGGTGCTCTCCAATCATAATGACATTGAAGCACAGAAGCACACCATGGCTGTACAAACCAATCAGCCGCAATGCAGGCAATACTTTGAAGCTCAGAAAACTACTGACAGCCATTGAGATGGTGGAAATGTAGCTGCTTCCCTTGAATAAAACGACACAATACTAATCGACTTTCTTGAAAAAAACAAGTCACAGACATCTATTCATATCAAACAAACTTTAAACAAATCGTTTTTTATTTGGCTTTGCATAAAGAAGAGTTTACAGGAGGGGTTAACTAGATGTTTGTTTTGAACAGGGCTGTTTGTTGTTTATTTGACCCATAAAAGTTCCGTGCTTTACATTATTCTTTGGGTGCCCAGTTCATTTAATATTTTCTCACAACAACATATTACACCCCTATTCATATTTCTATGAAATTGTTTATTCAACTGCTGTCGAGATGGTCTGTCTTTGGTACTCAATGAGGAAGTGGGTATTTTTTTGAATAATATCATGACAGCTATTTTTCAATTTTGCATCTTTTTATACTGATAATTTGAACTAAAGACATGGAAATGTGTTCAGCAATAAAAACAAAACACAATACTGTATAGAAGGGATACAAAATGGGATGGCAAATGTATTTTTAAATGCATGTGTAAACAGCAATATGCCTTGTGAAATAATTACAGTAACATTGACCTTTACAAATTTGATATGGCATATACAATGAAACGGCATGCTAGTTGTTTACATCTTAAATTAGACCCTTGTGTCAAAAAACATCAGTACTTACACTTACTGCCAGATTTAAACACCAGCTGTTTATCTCCACGCACATGTCAACTTGTCAAGGAGTTAATATTGTAGGAGAAGTTACCTTCAAAGACGTAAGACCACGAGGTTGATATGAAGACTAAAGATTACAATTTGTATAGAATAATCTTGTACTTTCTGCAGATTAGAAGAAGGAACTATTTTACAACTTGAGGTTAAAGACCTTTTAAAATATTTATAGATGATGGAATAGATAGAGATATTGTTTATTTACAGTTAATTGTATTTGTTGGTAAATTCCCATTCATAAAATAGATGGACTGTATCCACACCACGTTTACGAAACTTTCACAAAGAATTACAGCCATAGGGCACCACTATTCAAAACATTAGTAACTGTTATAAATATTTTTATTTGAAATATCACCTTTTTCTTTTCTTTTCCTTTTTCTTGAATGTGTAGTATACCTGTGTTCCCCTGACATAAACATAATGTATGATTTTCATATATTTTCTTAGGTTAAATAAGATTGAAAGTGTGTGTGTGTGTGTGTGTGTGTGTGTGTGTGTGTGTGTGTGTAAAGTAAATACTAATAAATTAAATAAATATTAAAGATATTCTATTCTGTTCAATCACAAAAATGTATGTTGTCTCTTAAAAGGAGTTTGTCGGCTCGATGTAGGTGACACACTAAAAAGGGGGATGGACTATGCTTAGTAACAAAACCGTTTTTACTTTATTTGACTTTTAAAATGTACAATACCACCATAAATATGACGTTTTCCCACCTGTAGTTTAATATGTTGGGTGCTGTGTCTCCTTCCAGCCACAGGGAGGGGGTGTTAGCTTACTTTTAGCGTTGTGGACACCCACTTAAGGTTTAACTCTTTCTGTCTCGGAAGAGTGCTCTCTGTGTGGGTCTCGACAGGTGCCCAAACATTTCGTCAGATATTTGCTTCTACAAGCTAAACGAGGTTACAAACAATTATACCCTTCTTGCCAAAGCCTTTTTGAAAGACAAACGGAAAGGGTGTTTTCTTTATGCTTGGTCGTCAGGTGCTTATAGAAGATACATTTGCGTAAACGTCAGCTGTGGTAGCAGGTAGGCTTTTCATTTTGTAATGCTTTTAACACTTTTGCTTTTAACACTTTTGCTGTCAGTGGGTTCTTCTTAATTACTGATTTGTCTACTTAGGATAAACAGTTTTAATGTGTATTTAAACTGCAGGGGTTGCACTACGGAACATTTTACTGAAACAAATGCTCTTGTGTTTTTAGTCCGTGAGTTAACTTGTGCATTAATTAGCTGCTTCACACACCTGGAGCCTAAATATGTGACGCATTCATTTGGATTTGGTTAAATGGATGAATATTTTTACATTACAAAGGCAGGATTGAAAATCTCAAACCTTTTGCATGGAACAATACCTTTTATTGGACTCTATCTTACTTTAGTTCTGGGTCCATTTTTATTGAGCTGTGTTATTGGAGGTTATAATTTGATTCCCCATCCTCTGTTCCGTCCTTCACTTCTCCTTGTTTTTCATTTCTCAACACAAGAACTACCTTCTATACCATAGAAGTTTAGAAGTAATAATAACTATTTGGCATTGGATGGAAAACTGTGATTTATATTGGGCTACTCATTATATGGATCTCAAATATTCACAATTATTCTCCCAATGGAAATGTTTTTTCTTCCTTACACTGCAGATTATCCAGCTCCTTTCATACCTCTAAACTTTGATTACATTTTTTTCATTTTAATTTAATTTAAAATAGCCTGTAAAATGTGGAGATGTACTGCTTTTTTATTGTATCATATTAGACTGAAGATCCTTTGGACTGACAGACGACCTTGGATTTTTTTTAAAACAGTGACGGATATTTTATAAATGATTATTTTCGATAGTTTTATGGACCATTTAATTAAGCTAGGAAAAAAAGGAAATAATAATAAAAAAAAAACTTAAATAAATGTTTGTTTTAGCCCTACTTTGCATGCAGTAAAACACATATGTTCTGCTTCTCTCTCCTCAGACTTCAGCCTCTCCTCTAGCCAGGAAGCCAGCACTGCAGCCCTGCCATCCGCAGCATGGAATATTACACGCCCCAGCCAAATCGTCGCCACAACCCCGTGGACAGCATATGCCGCAAACTTCAGACCATTCAGTGGCGCGGTGACCGAGAGCCCAATTCACCATTCCAGATCCCCAAACTCTCTTCCAACAATTACTACAGCCCGCAGAGTGGCCTGAGGCACAACCTGGAAAGCATCCTGAAGAAAGGAACCCTCCACAGAGATGAGGGGGAGAGGGGGAAGGGGAGAGGGATGAGTCCTGCTGCAGCTTCCCAGAGGACCAACAAGGGTTCCTCCATCCCTCTGCCCACATCTTCCACCCCTGCATGCAATACCCCCTCGCCAACTAACCTCACATACACTATCACTAGCACTCTGAGTGAGAGGAGAGGTGCAGAAGGGAGTGATTTAAGACGCATTAAGACATGGCCAGGGCATTGTTCCACGCCCACAGGCCAATCCAAAGAGTCCCGTTACTTCTCATTCACACCCCAGACGATTCGGCCCGAGAGCGAGAGGCCAAGCAAGAGCCCCCCCCTGTGTAGTACCATCACCCCAAACCAAGGCACCCTCTCCTACAACCTCAACTTCTGCTCAGCGGACCGTGCAAACTCCACAGAGTGGGAGCTGCCCTACCCAGCTCTGGTTGTGAAACGGCTGTCCATGGGAGATGGAGGTAGGGGGTAGCGGATGCAAAACAACTGGGAGGTTTGACTGATGTACAGTAGGAGTGTGAATAAAAACAGATTATGTTAGGAGTGAAAGTTAATTGTTAACTTTTGAAACAGTTTGACAAATACCAGCTTATTTTTCCAGAGCTTTCAGCTACAGCTCAGTAACAGATTTATGTTTTTTAGCATAGCATGCTATGTAATATTGGCGAAAGATGCTTTAGGAAGAATTACATTTTTTGGAGCCAATAACTAGTTTAAAACCTACAATATTTCAGTCTGTGCTTACATGTTAAAAAAACTGTAGTCATTAGCAAAACAAGGGTTAATGGTGGGTCCAGAGGCTAGTTTTTGTAGTAGTATTTTAATAGTGGCTGTGTCTTTACACAAAGTGTGTCATGTGCTTGCTTTGCTTTGCAACTTAATTCACTGCATTTATGTGTCGGTGGGCGTGTGTGTTTGATATTCCTGCTCAGGATCTTCAGTAGCCTCTGAAACCAAGGAGAATATGGCAGAAATCAGCTTAATCTGTGAGGAAAATCTGCTCGATACCATCTTCTATGCCTGTGACACCCAGCGTCGAGGTACACATACGCATACATACATACACACACACACTCATTAATGGTTGGGTCACGCATTTTTCAGAAAGAAGAATATAGCAGCTGATGACACATTTATAACTTGTCATTGGGTGTAGTGTTACACTGTCTTTTACTGTTTAGAAGACGGAAGAAATCCCCACTCACACAGTATCGGCATTGTCCGTGTCTTCCTCTTGTGCCTGCTAGAAAAAGCTACACAATATGTTCATTTGATTTCAACACCCCTTAAGTTTCCTTATCACTCCAGATCGTTTTCTTAGCATTTGAATGCTTTCTTTAAGTGAACCATCATGTGAAGTTGCTGTATGGAACGTGGTGTTTTTAAATAAGCACAGACAGTGTGGTAACTTATTATTTCTTCTGTCTTTTATTATTTTTAGGATATATTTCAACCATTTTTGAAGAGGAAGATTTGTTCTTTTCCTTTTGCGTCTGCATGTGATTGCATCTTAAGTTGCTGTCTCTTCTCCTGTTTGCTGAGATAATGGATCTAATTTTTGCTTTCTTTCCATCTACCTCGGTGATCTTCGGGTATATTTCATGCTAAAAACATTTCTCAAGGGTAATATTCAAATGGGAAAATCGAATAGCATCCAAAAATGTTGAAGTCTTTGGTTGAAAATCAAATAGAGTGATGATGCATAGTTTAATCCCACTAAAGCTGTTAAAGTATACCACATTTCTGTTTAATTCAGCTTTGATGTGTGCATTGCCAGAGGTTGAGTTTTAGTGAAAAAGGTATTTATGAATTTAAAAGATTTTATAATTCAATGCATTTTTCTTGCAAGAAAGAAAACTAGTCCATTGTTTGTACTACTGTTATGATAACTGTGTGAAGGCTAACCATTTTTTTTTAAATGATTGAGAGATGTGTTAAACCTACTGGGGAAAAAAAGTGAATCGTTATTATTCTGCTTCCATGGTTACTGCTGCCCTCTCCTAAACCCAAACAAAGACAAATTGATTGAGCAATCCATTGTAAATAACCAACCCTAGGCAAAATGATCCAAGATGTATGTCTGTGTTCCTGTGTTCTTGCAGGTAAAGTGTACGTCTCTCACATCGTGGACTTCCTGCGGCACACCACCAGCCGCAAATCAGGAGACAGCGGCCTAGAAGACCTTTGCAACATGCTCGACCCAGAACACAAGGACGTCTCCATCGACCTGGTCACGTACCATGCCGTCATGAAGGAGTGGATCGATGACTGCCGCAACAACGGGTAATGAGAAGCAGACATTTGAAATTAAGGCCTTAAAGGTCCCATGTCGTGCTTTTCCGGTTATTACCCGTCCCCTTGTGTGTTATGAAGGTTTTTATGCATGTAAACGGTCTGCAGAGTCAAAACCCTCAAAGTACACCCTGTAGCGAGTAAAACTCTAACACAGAAAATACCTCCCCAGAACGCCTCGTTGGAGGTACGTCACTGTCCATTGATTCTTCCGGGTACCGCATGGTGTCATGCGTTACCCGGAACCAAATGGACCAATCCGTGGAGCCGTTAAGTTACGTCCGCGGAGCCGTTATGTTAAGCCCCCGCTGATTGGTCCAAATGGACCAATCCACGGACTTCCTCACACACACACTCAGTGCATGCAGCTCTGCTGATCTCTCCTCCCTGGCTGCAGGCTGATAACAGACTGTTGGGATCGCGGCGAAATTCTCTCTGCAGACCCATTCTCACACTGTTTATCAACCTTTTTCTTACTCAATATCAAGCCACACTTATTGTTTTTACTTCGGCTGTGACTTTGTGTGTGCTCAGGGTGAGTTTGGCTGTGTTTCGCTGTCGCTAAACAAGGAAACCACACCTCCATGGAGCTCAGCGCGATTCACAACGTCCCGACCAATCAGAGCACACTGCTCACAGGGAGGGTGGGGGCTGGAGCTACTGGAGCTACAACGAGCCGTTAAAGGCAGAGAGTGAAATTCAGTGAATACACGTAGTTTACAGAGATGCTGTATGAGAAACCAATGTGATTTTGGAAAATTGCACAATATAAATCTATTCTAGTAGACCTCAACAATGGAATTATGATCAGTGGAAATGGCCATGACATGAGACCTTTAATTCCAAAATATTGATACCCTAGGCACATGATCTTTTATTTTAAAATGGGGATTTGTACGTAGGGTAGCTTGACGAGGGAACATTTTGGAATTTCTGAAGTCAAGATTTTGTCAGAATGTATATAGCTGCCATGGTCTTAAGCAGACTGACTGTATCATGTCAGGCAGTACTTTTTCTTTAACTACAGAACATGCTGTGACCCTCCTCTTTGTTGATTTAAGATATCATTAAAACATTTCTCAGAATAGAGGATAAATCAATGGATAAGACGCAAGCTTTCTGTTGGCACTATATCTCCATAATAGTTTTTTCAACTAGAGCCCTGATTTGAATATGCAGTTTTAACAGTTGACGAACACTTTTTAGAAATGGGAACAAAAAGTGTTTCAGAGATTAATTGTTTATATTTTGTTTCTCTTTTGTTAACTAATTCTCTGACTACTATGATTGAAAGACCGCTAAACATGTTTGCTTTCTAAGCATTTGCAGTTGCAGAGTTTCTATTCCCCCTAACCTGGTATTGAAAGGCAAATCCAGCTTCACCATCTTTAGCAGTCCTGTGCTTTCCTTTTTATTCTTTCAGAGAGGCTCTGTTAGAGTTACGCAAGTAGATATTGTGTAGGTGGGTTATGCATCAGATGAGAGATTGCTGGTGAGAAAGACTCCCCCTTTAGTTTCCGCTGTGTGCATCATCATTTCACAAGCTGTCTTTTGTATGAGAAGCAGTTCTGCGTCATAATCCAGTGCCCGCTGCACTTTATTCAGGTCTATGAAATGTGCATGTGGTCTAATGCTATGACTCATACTGTGTATACAAAATGAAAGTCAAAATACTTCATTTTATATATACTATTATTTATCTGTTATAAATGTGGTTACATTCTGACAAACCTGTGTAAGGTTATGCATTTTGGCCATTATGTGCCTGATGTGTGGGCTCAGATAAACTGAAGGTCTAATGGGCTGTTAGTGCAGTGATAGAGGTCCAATGTTGGTGATGAGTCATCTTGTTACTGACGGGCCCACAGGGTGTTAACTGCTGGTGAAGACATGCTTATATGTAAGCATGAAGTGGCTTTTCATACATTGGTATAACTGTCAAATGTGTAGGGGCTGTGCTTCAGCACTTCAATACGATCTATGGTTCCAGACAAAAATAAACTGAGCATTGAACTCAGTGTTTAGTGCCCAATGTGCCAGGTACCAACAATTAAACAGCTCAATACATTATTACCAAAGGTAACAGCATAGTGCATGACTGCCGAATCCTATCCAAAAGATTGTGATTATAATCCTGCACATTTTCTCTGTTGTGTCTAAGGGAAGACACACCAGATGAAGTCTCTCAGGAGGACTCGGTCAAATTCCGAGACAGCCTGTCAGGTGGGTGTGCATCTCATCACTCAGATGTTTGCTTTCCCCATGTTCTTGTATTATACATCAATCTAATTTGAGTGATGCCTGGATGTTATCTTTTTTGTGTGTGTTTTGGATCTGTTTAGCAAAGAGGTCCATGTTGTTCAATATTACTTCGGGAAGCTTGGAGGCCTTTGGAGGGGAGGCGTCCAGAGCAGAATTGTAAGTAATGTACAGGAATAAGTGAGAGATCATCCATGTTTGTGTAAATATGCAATACTATTTGTTTTATTTATATTTATGACAACCTCTTCCTGCCCTTTATCTATAAAATGTAATATAATCTATATATCTAAATAAAATAATATACTATCTGAAAGGACAAATACCACTAGGGAGATGAAGCAACATTTTAATTCATATTTTATTTTATTGTGGTTCGAGTGAACTGAGATTTTTTTTAAGTAAGGCAATTTCAGCATCTACCATTAATTAAAGGCTGTTAATATTATTGCATTTTTAAAATTTCAAAATGATTCACTTGACGCACAACAGAAATGAATATTGTGATTCTCCAGAGGATACAACATTTAGACTTTTGTTGAAAATAAAATGTATTCAATTGAGGTTACTGCTGCTGTGCCATGTATATAAATCGTGCATGTAATGGACCCTATTTAACCCGTGCCTTTTATGTGTATGTGTCTCTCCTCAGTGAGACGTCAGAGCTGGTGTGTTGTGTCGCTGACCTCCAGATGAGCAACCAAAAGCTCGAGGAGGAGATGAGGAAGATGAAGCTGGTGGTGGAGAGCATGGAGGACAGCAACCAGAAGCTGGCAGAGGAGAACGAGCAGCTACACAATCAGGCCACGGTGTAAGATGTACTTTTATGCAAAGGCATGGCAGATGTTTATTGAGGCATGCTGTGGGTTATTGACTTGTTATCTGTTGAACTTTTTGCACAGTAACCAGCAGCTGGCCCAGAAGGAGAAGATGCTGAATGAGGAGGTGGAGGAGATGAAGGCCACTCTGAACTGTAGGGAGGAGGGCAGGGCGCGCGCCTCCGCTCACAGCAAACGCGTGGTCAGTCAAAAAGAGAATACATAAAAATGTATCTAGCTTCCATGCTTATGTAAATACAGATGGTGTGTGTGTGTGTTGTTTTCTCAAAAGGGTTTCATCTGAAATGTACTGCATTGCATTGCAGACCAAAAGTTAGGCATTAACTGTTATCCCCATTTTGGATGAAAAATGAACACACTTGGAGTTCAATGTTGCTTCTGATGGAAATAGACATTTTCTGCCACAGAATGTATGAAGGTAAAAATCATACATGTATAATTCAATGTAGAAATGTTGTCATAAGAAGAAACATTATGCAAGCTTTGAACAAGGCCCATTCTCTTAGCCACAGTTCACACTCCCCCAATAACGTGTATATCCCAGATAACATTTAACACATGGGGAAAACTCATTATTTTACGAAGGGTGCGTTCATTTGAGTAATGCACTTTGCAACTAACTGGATCTTTTGTAAATTCTGATCGCTGTTGAAACGAGGATATTCAGGCAGACCTTCTTACTAACGTACAGCTCAAGCCTTTAGAATGTAATATCGCAGCAGATTTAGGACTCATTTTCATTGTTCTTATTTTGTTTGCAGGACAGAGAGAACCAGAGTCTCATTGCCAGTATTGCATCTCTTCAGGAAGAGGTACTTCACTGATCAAAGAGGACTATTGTCAGACGAGTACACGGGAAAATCAATAACCTGATTCACAGTGAATCCACAGTACTCACCCATTCATAGATAGCCTGCAGAGAGTATTTCTTTTATAGTATTTTCAAAAAAGGATGTGACCAGCAGCGCTAACCCTAACCCTTTGATGGCTCCCCAGAACTTCAGGGTCACCGTGGAGACAGAAGAGCTTCAGAGGAGGATAGCCGAGCTGCGTAACATTAACGCTGACCTTCAGGTACCTCTTTACTTTGCAATTTGTCTCTGCATTAGTAAAGCTCTACTAGGCTATTTTCGATTTCCTCTGTGTCCTTGTTCTTTCTTTTCTCTGCCTTCAGCAATTTTGAATGTTTTTCCATCTTCCTTCCTCACAGAACAATCTTCACATTGTACATTTCTCTGGGACACATTTGTCCAACTCGCTACCATTTTACTGTGCTTTCTTTGTGTGTCTTATTCTCATGTCCTCAGGTGCAAATTCACTCTTTTGATGCGGTTGTTGGTGAAAAGGAAGCTGTGATAATAGAGGTCAGTGCCTTTTTGTATAATGATCCAATCCCACAGTCGTTATCATTCTATACATAACATTTATTGGATCCCTTCAGCAAACACTGGTTCAGTGCAAAAACCTACCAATTGCTTCCAATTTGTTGTTTCTGTTTCGCTTTAAAAAAAACTGAACTCATCTTGTGTTTTTTGCCTTTTACAGAAGAGCAGACTGATAGATGAGCTGAAGTCCGCAGTGGAGGAATACTCATCCATCACAGAGGTCAGTGTGTTGAACCTCACATCATATCAATATTTCAGTTTCTAGACATCAACAACCCCCACTGGTTTGTCTTTTGATGCTCTGCAACTGCTTTAAATAGTTTCTGATGTCTCTTTTTGCTTTTAACTCATGAAGCCAATGAAGCTATTTGATATTCTTTTTAAGAACCATTTGGTCGACTTTCTTCATTTTGTATATGACATGCCTGTACAACGGACATTAATTCGCTGATTTCCATTCGTGAGTAATAGGAAACGAGATTTGAAAGAGTTGCAGATAAAAGCTTAGCAGAAGTCTTAATTTTAAAAAAAGTGACACTTTAATAATATTATAAATGTTAACCATAAACTCCTGATAGTGATTTTATTTTTAGAAAGTGTATATAAAAGTATGGGGAAATGCTAAAAACATGTTTAAAGGTAATTGTAATTCAACACAGACTAAACATCAACTCCTACTGTAAACTTAGTTCTCTGCTGCGTCACGTTTATTGTTACTCAGCATGTGTACGACTGGCATTTTGTCTGGCTGTGGGAAATCCAACGCCTGCTCTCGCACACAGACCTTGTAGTGGACAGATGTGTCCAAGTAGAGAATTGTAGGGAATGTAGTTTACCTCTTTAAAACCAATGGGGTTTGTACTGAGTTATGTTGGCTTCTCTGTTGTTGATTCCAGCTGCTGAGGTCACACAAGAGCAAGCTGGAGAGCCAGATGCAGATGATGCAGCCAGACATGTCTGGGTGAGTGAACCGAGAATAACCCGGGAGTGAAGGGTCTGAGGTATTCACGGTCGAGGGACAACTAAGGGAATAGACGATGATAAATAAAAAATGTCTCTCTAGGAATTTATGGAACGGCGCCGTAAACTGTCTCACAAAAATGTAAAATCTTTGTCGCTTCCTACTTCTCTCCACAGGGCTGGTCTGTCCCTGTCGGTGGCCTTCAGGTTGAACCAGAGCAGCTCAGGATCCCTGCAGACAGAACTGGCTCTGGCTCAGTCACCACTGGAGGTCAGCACTCCCTAACTCTGTCTCTTTTCATCTGCTCACCTTTTCTTTCATGCACCCTGGGCTTTGATTTTTGAAAGAGAATTCATGGCCGCTTCTTCTCTGGGACACCTTTCTTGTATCAGTCAAATGAAGCCACATGTAAACTTGAATGCATTCACACTGCTTTTTTAGTTCAAACTTTATGAAATCTCAGTTAACTGTGCCCTTAGTCCCAGCTAGACTTCTGGGAAGTGTAGGCCTTCAGGCAACTGATTAAACCCCTAACATTCCCACAGCCGTAGGGTTTCTCACAAATGATACACAATACATAGCACTGTGTGAACATTAGATGCATGTGCTGTTTGCTTGTCACACTCCAGCTTCTTGCTTATAATTAGACTGATTTTAACTGTTTTTAAATCTAAATTTGTGTAATAATTGCCATCTCATGCAGGCCCACCATGGAGTTGACCTTTTATCCACCACTATGAGCTGTGTCTCCCCTCTGGATATGACGCTGGACAGGGAGGTGCTGCTGATGCTGCAGGGACCCAACCCGGAACAAATGGCTCGGGAGTTCAAGAACCTCCTAAATAAACTGGTGACTTTTACTTGCATATTTTGACTTGGGTAGAGAATTTAAATCTGAAAGAAAATACAATTCCATCATGTATTGTTTTGTAAGACTTTTGTGACTGTGCATGGCATCAGCTGACTTTGAATAACTATGACTAAAGAATGTTTAAAAGTTCAGATTGAAATGTCAATTTTCAACCTTTTTGCAGGGCATTTACATTTGTTTAAGACTTGACTTGACTTTAAAAATACAAATAAACACTGTTGAGTTACTGTTGGGGTTCACTTGAAGAGGCCCTATAATGATTTTTGGGTTTTCCCTTTCCTGTAGTGTGTTATAGGTTTTTGTGCATGTACATGGCATGCAAAGGCTAAAATCCCAAAGTTCCCTCCAGATTGAGTTTCTCTCCCACACACTTGAACATTAAAGCATGTAAACATGTCACAGTAGAGGCACAACATACAAATATGAACCAGACAATGAGCATCATAGGGCCCCTTTAATAACCATCTACTTAAAATAGGTTAGGCTCTAATATAACCTTAGAAGTGTCAGGCTAGTTTAACAGGCTTATGAATGCATCTAAATGTCTGTTTTTATCAATTATCTGGATTGTTGCAAATTATCATTTAAATTCTGGACTCCATTTTTCTTGATTTCTCTTGATACATCTCAGAAAAGGAATTTCAGAGAAGAAACCAACTCCATCTTATCTACAACTAGAGGCTTGTTGGACAACTGCGCACAGCCAGCAGGCGACCAGGACGCGGTTCTCCAGGTCAGATACACTTTCACAGACTAGTGTCAATTGTGTAGTCAGTGTCAGAATACTGCAATTGATGAAAGCTTAAGAAAAACTGCAGGTGCACAATGAACTGCTGTGTTGGTGCGTTTGAGCTTCCTATGTTTGCATTTCAGATCTGAAAAAGGCCGTCTCCATCTAAAAAATATAATAAGAATGATGAAATAATGTTGTGATCTACCTCTCCCTCTACCTGTAGCATTTTTTCTCTCGGTCCACTCTTCTCTTTCGCACCCACTATCTCTCCTCTCCGGAGAATTCTCACTTATATAACTCTCCAACAGGCCCCATCCAAGCAGTGTTGTTAGTCAGTGTGTTGTACCATGAACACAACCCACTCCCCTCACTCCAACTTTCTCTATCTCTCAGTCTCTCTCTTTTTCTCTCCCCCCTCCTGCATTGTGGCCACTCTGCATTCATTAGCCACGTACTGGCATACAGCAGTAAACATAGCAAATGAGACCGAAATCATTAGCGGAGCGGAGCTGCACCAGTACCAGTCAGTCTTATGTTGGTTGTACGTCGTGCCATTTTGTGTCAGTTAGTGGTGAAAACTTTTTAGAAGCGTTAAAGACCCTTGGCTGTTCAGGCCGTGCAGCTGACCCCGGACTTTTGTTCCCGCAGAAGGTGCAGGCCGAGCTGGACGCGAAGAGGGAGGACTGGGCCCTCAGCCTAGACCAGCTGGCCCAGTACACAGACTCTCTGGAGAAGGAGCTGATCAAAATGGCCAGTAACATGAGGAGGTCCCGCACTGAGATCCTGCACCTTTCAGTCAGGTGAGCGAAGCTTTGTCGCCTGATCTCTCTCTGTGGATGTTGAAATCAAGGATCTGTAGGAATGTGAGTGATTCAGAATCTGGTGTAAGAGCAGAGGAAGGTAAAGGTAAGGCACTAGAGGAGGAGAGAAGAGAACTGACTGCTGGCTAATGAAAGACAACTTTTCCACATGGCAGGAAAACCTTTCCTTGAGGAGGAGTCACTCTTGTGCTGCTGTGATCTCATTGGTTGATTAAACCCTTGTAGTGAGAGCTTACAAATTCCTTTTCTGGCTAAGTAAGGTAATACTGATGCCACTGAAGAAGAGGAATGAGTGAAAAAGCTAGAAGCCGATTAAATCTAGCAATGTAATTACTAACTTAAAAGAGATGCAGTCTAGGCATAATTAGGTTAACTAGTTAGTCTACCTTAAGATAAGCCACTGATGATTATTTTCATTATTGATTTATCTGCTAATGACTTTGTTGATAAGCGCCTGAGCTTGTCGCTTGTATTATCCTTAGAGCTGGAGATCTAAATTAATCTATACAAATATGTTATTTTATGCAAACACTAAAGTTTTCTTCTAGTTTGAGTAGATTTTCCTGTCAATCTCCATATTTCTAAAACGTAACATTAACAACACCACACATCAGATCACTGGACATCTCCACTCTCCAGTGCTCTTTGGCCAGTCAGTTGTGCTGAGTGGGGGAAAGACCTTTCAATCATCCTGACCTCAATGACCCCAAAGGGCCCGCCTCACTAGGTATGGATCTATGCCAGCCCTTTGGCCATGCGTGTGTGTTTCTGTTTGAGTGTGTGTTCATGGAGACGGCCATCCCCTTCTGATATATAACGGAGTTACTGAGGTACAGCATGAGACCAGAGAAGGGGAACTGGTCAGGCTGTCCATGCTGGATTTACTGGTGCTTAGTTGCCAGGGTGAACTCATTAAATACTGTTTGGTGGGAAAAGAGAACTGCAGAGGGCTCATTGTAGATTTGACCCTCTTACTCTGAACAGTGTGTCTTAGCCCAAACACTCCAGAGTCAGACTGGACTACAGGATCAGGGTTTTGTTGAAGGACATATTGGGGGTTCTGTGAGATTAGAGAGTCCGTCTGGATCTACAAAACGGTGAAGTAAAGAAACCGTTACCGGGCCAGTCGGAGAACTGGCGGTGGTCACCCTGGGCAACAGAATGGGACACTGCATGGGCCTGCGGATTGGGTACAGTATGTCCACTGTACTCTCTTCTAGGGTCTCTGCTCATCTAACTCCCCTGGAGAGTTAACAGTGCTTTTGACACCAAGAGTTTTTCCTCTACATTTTGTTTTAATTCACACTTTTGTTTTGTTGCATGCAGGGTGCAGGAGCAGGAGAACCAGAAGCAGCAGCTTTGTGAGGAGCTGGAGCAGATAAAGACACCTCAGGACAGCAGAGAGGCCTCGTGCCAGACACCTGCACCAGAGGAAGAGGTCAGAGAGAGAGAGGAAGGATGGGAGGGCTGGGTTATTGGGCTTCAGTCTATCTCTTATAAACAGCAGCAGCCTCATTCTTCCGCCATTGTTAAAAGTTGTATTTCAATCTTAATCTGTAGTCACCGTACATTGTTTTTAGAACATTCAATTAACTTTACATTGTCTGGGAGGTGAGGGAGTTTCACTTGTACTTGTTTTGAAGGTTTACTGGCAGGAAAGTCATATCATATCCAGTTATTTACATGTGTGTTTTTGTATGTTTGTAATTTGGATATTGGTTTGCTTAGAGAGCAGTGAGAGAGCTCCCACTGTATTCAGACAGATGGAGTCTCTGATGGAGGAGAGTGGAGTGTGAGTTGGCGGCTGAAGTGGACATGTGCACCCACACATAAACGCAGAATTTAGATGCGACCACACACCTACGCACTGCTTCTCGAACAAAATGCGCTGACACGCGCCTCAACATTTCCATTACATCACTATTGTTTTACTGCAAAACACAATGAGTTTGGTGCTGAAATAAATGGAGACATTTGAAAACAGTAACAGCTTTTTCAGTTCTTACTAAAGTCATTTATTCAGTTTAGCAAGTTTGTTAATTGTTAATCAAGAAATGTATGAGTTGCTTTGTTTTATTTGAATGTCAGATTTGTTCATAAGTCGTATTAACTGAGATTTGTTCAGAAACTGCTTTTGTAATTGTGTGGTGTCTGTTGGAAGAGATTGACTTTTTAATTTGCAATGATGCCACTTTCAACTATGGTGTCTGTAACCGCTGAACTTCAGCCCTATAGTTGGACTTTTCAACAGTGGAATTCGTTATGGTGTTGCTTTAGCAGGTTTTGTTGCATTTGGTGAGGTGTGTTTTTGTACATTTCACTGCTTCATTTAGACCCTGTCTTTCCCGTATCTTTTTTGTGTTTAGCCTGGAGATGACTTGGACTGGGATGAGGAGTTCGCCCTTCAAGATTTCCTGAAGAACGAGTTGGCGGAGAGGAACTGCAAAGAGCAGGGAGGCCGAACAGAGAGAAGCGAGGAGGAGGACGGGGAGGAGAGGTGGACGGTGGTGGACACAGCTGGAGAGGGGGAAGTGAGGGACACCTCCACTCCGGTGTCTGCCCTCTCTGGGAGGACGCTGCCTCGAAACGGAGCAGCAGAAGAGAGTCATGGTAAGTGGGGCACAAAGTTGGACAAAACAACCATCAGCCAACATCCATCAGTTCGACTTCCATTCAACTATTTATAATTATTCGTAGTGAATCCTTGAAGAGTCAAATGGTTATACTGAAGTTTTGAATTGGCTTGTAACGATTAAACCTTCAACTGTATCAGGAAAGTTAAGAAGTGAGGAGCCTTTTTAAAATCCACTATCCACGATAATTAGCCCAGAGCTAGCTGCAAACTCATAAAGCCCAGCCAAATATGGATAAATACAGTTTCATGTTTTTGTAGCCCCATTCTGACCCCAACTCGCCCGTTCCTAGTTTTGGATCCAAATCAATCGGAACAAGCCTCATGCAACAAGAATGTGAACTAATGCATCCTTTCTTAGCATGAGAATTTTGAGACCACACTTTTATCCACATTCCTAGCTGTAGATCATGCGTGTGTGCGTACACTGAACATGCCTGTCCCACTCTATTGATAGCTATAAATATACAAATGTGCAGATTTTTCTGCATTTTGCGAAGTTCTTCACAGGATAAGTATTTTAGGTGAAAACCGTTCCAAAACATAGTTATCATCTTTGTGTGTTGATTTGTATGTGTGTGAGAGAAAGACTGGATTATCCCCTTGTAATCCATGGGAGTCACAGGGCACTCAGCCACCCTTGAAGCACCAGCACAGTACACACACTCACCCACTGTAGGTGTGTGTATCCCCACAGTGGATACACACACTCTGAGGCCCTTGGAAGTAGACCCATGCCTTCTATGGTTGCTGTGGCCCTGGTCTTATTAAGGTTGTGAGCGTGTGTGTGTGTCGACACAGTATGTGAAATCCTCTCTTCCTAAAGGTCCTTGTATGGCCAGGTGTACGACCGGTCTGAGGCCACGAAGTGAGCCCAGTAATCCCCCCCCCCCC